TTTTATTATTGTTGTGAGTAGATTTTTAAAACTGGTTATTTCTGGTATTAAAGAAGGCTCTTTTTCTGCCCCACTTATAATGGTCTACTTTTCTGAACTCTTTTTTTTCTAATTATAAGATATTTTCTAGTTGTTTCTTTTGCAATTTCTATGTCTCTGATCATTCTGTCCAAAGCAATGATGATTTCTTTCTTCCTTTCTAATAGTTGTGTCTCTAATTTCTGTTTCATTTCTTACTGCTTTGACTTGATCTTCCAGAAGAGTGTAAAGCATTAGTGGGGGGGAACAAGCTCATTTTCTTTCTAATTTTACTGGAACTGACTTTAGTTGTTTCACTATTAGAATAGTGTAGGTTTATAGTAGAAAACTGGGAAGAAAAATAGCGTATCTTTACTTGAAAGAATGGTAAAGAAAAGAGTCAGTTTATTTTGAGACAAACATACTGTTTTCCTTGTTGCTCAGTTGACATGAGGTTTTGATCAATAGTAATAAAAATACATAAAACTATATTTTCAATTTTTAGATTGAACTTTCATTGGCCATGGTGAATGTTGTCATATTTGGTTTCTAGTACTTTTATTCAGATGTTCACATCGGAATTTGCAAGTGAATGATTCTTTTTGGTTCTTTTTAGTTACATTGGCACATTTTGGTACAAGGTTTTACTAACTGTATAAATCGAACTCAATAGAGTTCTGTATATTTTTAATGCACGGGACAGGTAATATAGCATACATTTATCTTTTTCTTAAAAGTTTAGGGAAAAAAAAACCCTGTAAAAGTATTTAATCTTGGAATCGTTCTTGGATGTAAACTTTGGTAGTTTTTTTTTTAATTCTACTTTCATCATTGATCTCTTAAGGTTTAAATTTTTCCCTTAAGGTTTTAATTTTTTTGGATAATTTACATTTTCCAGCAAAACTGTTCTGTTTGTTGAGATTTTTTGATTCAGTACTGTAGAGAGAAATATTTTGAACTGGAAGAAGCCACTGTGTCTGTAGTTGTGTCCCCTTTCTTA